TAGTTATCTGCTGATAAAAAATAAAAAAAAAATTAATAAAAAGATAAAGAATAAGATTATTTATTTTATAAATATATCTATTTGATAAATTTTTTTAAGTGACATTCCTTTTGTTATTAATTTTAATATAAAACATTTTTGTCATGGAATACCAAATAAAAAAAATCTTGTTTATAATTTTTATTTTTAATATAGGTGTCTACGTTATCTTTTTTCATTTTTTTTTTTTTTTGTAATATATATATATTACAAAAGAATATAGTCACAACCTTTAGGAATACATTATGCTAACATAAGTAGACGTATTGCATTTTAGTGGAGAGAGTGTCCAGTGATAGCACTTCATAAAAATATATCATTTAAATTTGTATAGATAAAATAAAAAATATAATTTATTGATATTATAAAGCAAAACTGTAAATTAAATATATAAAAAACTTTGTAGATTTATATTTTATTGTGTGTACTTATATTATAATCAAAAATTGTCATTCAAACACTATATTTTGATAAATGGGCATTATTATTAATAAGCATTTAATTCCGTAATTGTGATATTAAATTTATTTTTGAAGATAAATATGATACAAATAAACATCCACATATTTCATGTATGATATAAGAAAACTTAATTATGTTTATCATCATAAAAAAAATTGAATTATTAAAAATTATAACAATGAAAACTAATAAATCTTGTACTGAAGTAGCTGTAATAATGACATAAGGTTTTTGCTATCGTATGGTATAATTTTCTTTTGATTTTAACTCAATAAAACCTAAAAATAATTTTTATTTCTCGTTATTTTTAAAATTTTTTGTTTTTATCGAAATAATTTACTTATTTGAAGTATTGTTGCATGAATGAACATATATCGAATGAGTTTTGAAGAATGGTAAAATATATGAAAAAGGTCAATTATTACCATAAAAATAAAAGATCCAAGAAAAAAATTCGATTACATGCACTCGTGATTTGATCAAAATATGATATTATATAATGTCATGTTTATATTTTTCTTTTTTGTGTATTTTCTGTTAATTCAAATACATAAGAAATATTTACTAGATTTTATTTGGAATATGTAATTGGACCTAGTTTGTGCTTTAAAGAAGTCTGAAATATTAAATATAACAATTTTTTTTTTTATAACTGGAGAAACAGAAAACAAAAATTATTATACTAGACTGATATAATTACTAGAACACGTAATTTAACAAAATCTGTTTTAGTGATTTACTCATTAATAAATTCCATTTAACACCTAATGTATAGCAAACCGATAATTACTTGCCCACCTATTTCATTATAACATTTAAAATAGTACACTGAATTATAATAACTTTAAAATATGGTAATACTAGCTTTAAAATGTTAAACTGTTTTTAAACAACTGTTATGTCAAAAAATTGAATTTTTTTATCAAATAACAAACAAGAATATTTTGTCTTATAATTAATACCAATACATGTTTATATTTTTTAGTACTTATTTTTTTTCAGTCTGTTACAGTGATAGTGAGAATGAAACCTACGATAAATAAAACAAAATAACATATGTTTCACGGAATAAAAAATTACTTCATTGAAGTAACAATATAGTAGATACCTATGTAATTTAGTTATATCAAATTTAGTATTTTTACTGAAGTAAAAAGAACCTTAAAATTATTTTTCAAAAAACTATAATCGATAAGTGTCTAAATAAAGATACTGCTTTTATCAATAATATATTTTATGTAGATCTTAGTTAAATTTCATTGAAAAAAAGAAATTAATTTTTAAAAACTATTTTATTGTTCTAACATTGTTATACTTATTAGTAATTATGCGATTAAGTTACACCGTTACTGAGTGCTGAAAAAAAAATACGATAAGTAATATATATAACTGTAAACGAAAATTGTTGCAGTTAATTCCAAAAACCGTTAAGAATAACATATTATTATATACATTAAAGTTTTATACATATCTAAAAACTTAAGTTATTTCAAGAAAATCGGTGATACAATAATCTAATTATTGATAAATTATAATCGATAAAAATAAATCTTTTAGAACTATCTTAACAATCTGTTTTGTAAAAAATGAAAACACGGAGACACTAGAAAAACATCTATAAACTAGCTTAACTATACGTTGTTAATTTATTGTCTTCAAATAACATATTAATGCAAAACATCCATGGCGACAAACATTGGCCAAAAGCAATATTTCTTGGGTTAAAAATATTATTATACTATAGAATTATATAGTAGGTGCATGTACACTTAAACGATCACGACACTGATAATGATTTATTATTTTATTTATACTGTTTATACATAGGTACAGGTAACACATTTTTTACATAATTAATGCCTTATTTAACGTACACACGCGTATTTTACCGTGTTATTATAGTAATATATTATATAGGATAGTGTACTTTATATGTCTAACCGACTGTGAGTGAAACCTTACCTTATAACGTAAAGTAGAGGCACTAACGGTGTCGGTATAAATTTAGGGTACCCACCTTTCTACGGAGACATTGTGTACAATTGTGTCTTAGTGGTTTAATTGTTTTCTGATGCGTTGAAAACATTATGCACGCGCGTGTCAGTATGAGTTATGTAGGTACGTCGAGTGTGTAGCGTATTTGTAATAATTTATTTTAAAAGAGTAATACTGGAAACAAAACACCCTCTTCTTTTAAAGTTCACGACATTAATTTACGAAATAGCCAAACCGAGAAACAACGCATTTAATATAACCACAGAACCACTGAGATAAATCGAGGGTAGAAAAAAAAATGAACATTTGGAAGTGGAGTGGTTTTCCCGTAGTACCGTTGTCGTAGGGCAACCCAAGATAAAATCGTAGCCACAACTATCCGAATAATAAAATTGGTCCCAAAACGTCCGAATTCGTTCTCAGATTATTACACGAGTATAAGACGCAAATTAGTTATTAGACTTTGAACACTTTAAATTTGCCTTACTACTTTATATACACTAAAAGGCATATAATTTAATGTATTTAGTATGAACGGTTATACATTTTCATATATTTTTATTCTATCAACAATAGTTTGAACTTTTCAATTTATTTAAAAATTCTAGTGGAAACCTATTTAAATGTGTACTGTTAAAATGTCGAGGATCATAATAATTATTCAGATATTGATGTTCAGGTATAGAAACCAATAATAATATAGATACATAATGTTACTATTATCATAATTTCATTGAGATATATTTTCATTTTGTTATTGGTGCACCTCGATGTAGTGAACAGTGAACTTCGTTTCGTCGAAAGCACCTTTGGGGAGTTTATATTACACTTATTATAAATACAACTCATTTTTAGTTAGTAGACGTAATATAATATGCAATATAATTACTCGGTGCTCCGTTATATAGCCGATTTTTTTTTTCAAAGAAAAACAAAAAAAAAAAAAATATAAACTTTAAAGTTGAATTTGTGTATATCCTATGCAAATAAAACTTAGTTAATAAATTGGGCGTATACCGATTCAGCGAATTTCAATCGGCTACTGTTTGTACTAACTAGTAAACTACCTACTCGCAATGTCATAAATTTATCAAAATGGTAGACACCAGTCATACGCTTTAATACTTTACTGAATTGTTTATTTAAATTAATTAACTTATATCACACAATATGTATATAATTCAACATAATGATTCACATAAAATACGCAGAACATTAAAGTATTAAACATAAATAAATTATATGGATATTTAATTTATAGAAAATTTATACAATTCATAGATAACAATGAATAACAATGAATTTACTTGAGCATTAATACGGATGCTGTCAAAAATAAATTTGAATTGTAATCAAATAAAAAAAAAACAAAAACAAAAAAAGAATTAAAATATTCTGATTTTAATACTTAATTCACAGTTTTTAAGTATCTGTTTACATAACATTTATTTATTTATACAATTAAAAGCGGACGGCAATCCAACGAGAAAAACCAATTTTATCCAATGATTAATATACAACGACTATTATAGATATTATATACAATGAGATAATTTATCACGTTTATCAGTAAATGCATTATGCATTTTAATAAATAAGACATTAATTTATTTGAACATGATTTAAATCTATTGGCCAATATTAACTTTTCGACATTAATACTACGCTGCTATATCGGTGAGTATTTAATTGGAACTGTAACCAATGGAATCAATCGCCGGCAGAGTCGATAATTAAAACCTTTTTTCAAAACGGGATAATTCGGTTGAATCAATAAATCCTCAATATCTGTACTATGTACACAGTACTGGTATCTTTCATTAGAGAAGAAAACCTTTTTTCGGTAATATTTAAAATAACGATGACATCTTTATTTGTCATTTATCTCCGTATATCAAATCATTTAATCTCGAAGTTGATAAAATAATCTTTCCTCGTATTCTTATATGTTCGTGAGTTACGTAGTCATATATATATATATATTTTTTTTATAAATATTTGCGTATGGCTTACTAATTTTCAGTTGTGTAAATACGATTTATTATACCCAGTATCATAATGATACCGTTCGTAAAGTCACTCACAAAAACTGATTCGTTAAATAATGAAAGTCACGTAGTATTAGTAGTATTACTAAATACCATTACGAGTTATATATACATATTATATATTGTATGCATCGGGATTCATCGTATAACACAATAATATTATCAAGTTTTATTTGTGAAAACACAATATTTTCAAGCTATTGTGATTTTACACGAAAATCGATAAGATTTTAATTTATCCTACTTATCATATTACAACGATTTTAACTCTTTAGCAGTACAAAAAAAATTTGGTAATAAATCGTTTCACGTCACAGATAAAGCATTTATTTATATTTATTTTACGTTACAATAAAATACTATGTAGATGTTAATGCTGAAATATTATTAAGTATAAGAAAATCGTTTACGTGAATTCAAACATAAAAATATTATTTTATATTTTGTAATACTCACTCAAATTATTTTCGTCAACGAGCAAAAGACCTGTAAAAAAAAACAAAACATTAATAAAGAAACACACACACACACACACATATATATATATATATATATATAAGAACATTTTTTTTTTTTTTTTTTGTTATTGTTAATAATAAAAAATATGTTAACAGTGTATCATATTTTACGAGCAAGCTAAAAAGATAGTATAATTTATGGCAACAATTATTTTAATTTTATTTTAGTGCATTTAACTAGAAATAAGGAAAATAAACATGAAAATTGATGAAAAAAAAAATCAATTTTACATTTTATCACTTTGGTCATAATTTATTATTATGTAATATACATAGAAAATATAACAGTTAAAATATAATTTCATTAAGTAATACAGTGATAACTAATTATTATATATGATGACATTAACGTTGGATCTATAAAAGAAGTACAATTTTAAACATTGGCTCTTCAACAGACGTAGGTACCCACATATTATGTAACATGACCTAAAACTATTTATTCTTTTTAAAAGTCAGTCAATCTTAAGTCGTGGGCATATGATATACCAATAAACTATATTAAATGATATAATAATATGCGCCTACGTGGCTACGTATTATGGATAGATCCAAATTAATATTGCAATCTGTAACACAATCGTCCACTTGGACGTTTGTCCTTGAACACGACATCCTCATATTTGTCTTAACTTGTTCATAAAATGTAAAAAGTTTAAACTATGTTATTAATTTCAAGAATTTTTACACCACGTATAAAACATATAATAATTTAAGTTAATGATAAGATTATAGCTGGTTGCTAATCTAACGGATTAGGAAACAATAATAAAGTCATTAATCCAGAGCACAAACAGAAGAAAAAAACATAATTTACATAAATATCAAAACGCTAAGCTAAAATTATATTTTACGACTGTTTAGAAAATCATAAACTCACCTACATTATAATGATTTAAGACATTAAATACTATTTTATTTTATGTACAACGCCAATGAAAACCACATGTTTTATTATTGTACTATTTTTACCCACGTTTAAAACTTCAATGAAACTTATGTTAATAACTCATTCATAAATAATGTGCAATAATCTACTTTATTTTGTTTAAAAAAATGTATACACATGAATAAAATCATTTGAGTTCTTGAAATAACTATAATGCTAATGCTAAATTATACATTCAATCAGACAGAAATAACGTCTTGCAAATATAATGGAATTATACTTGGGCAGATTATCTTAGAATACAATTAGGGGTGTATTGATAAATAATATTTTGGGTATACAGGTCAGTACCCTATATATGCCATATTTTATTAAATTGTATTTCAATATATTGTGTTGGTGTACTTGAAAAATTAATTACTTAATATAAGTAATCAAACAATAATTATTAGCAAATAACTAAAATATAATATACAAAATATCAATATAAATTACCTGCGCTCACTTATGACAGATAATAAATAATTATATAGTTATTTTTTGCATTTATGCATTTCTTTATAAATATTGTTATGAGTGTATGTACACCGTATACTCCAGTATACGCTCTAATACAACCCTGCAGAGTATAGTATAAAATATAAATACTTACGTGGTTAAAGTGTTTTTAAAAATTCGATATTATAAAAAAATGTACATAATTGGTTCAGAAAAAAATACATAAAACATACTTATAACAAAAGAGATGTACCCGTGAGCCTACATTATCAAGAACTCATATTTATAATAATCAAAATTAAATTTTGTACATTCGTTTATCGATCGATAGTTTTATCACACGTACCCTCTCAGCATTTATTCTACAGTAATCCCATAATTATTAATATATTTAATATTTCTATCAGTGCTTGGTAAGATCATCTGATGTTTTGCAGTAAATAGTTTTAGTGAAGTATAAAATGTTATAATATAGTATATAACTATAACTAGGTATAAGTATAAAATTAATTGTAGAACTAACAGTTATATAATTTTACTTTATTCAATACATAATATTAATCCATATAACCTTTAGTTCTAGTTTTAGGTACATACTGCACTTACGAAAAATCCAATAACCAATTAACGCTAAACCATATTGTAAAATACACTTTTGTTAAAAGCACATATTACCATCAAGTTGAGAAAAAAAAAAACTCGTGTACAACAAAACCTTTTCCATTTTTATAATCGAGAACTATTTTAAGTATATGGTGCACTTACCGGCAGATTATATACATCTCTGAATGTTACTCAGATTTAATAGTTCTATTAAAAACACAAAAGGTGCAAAAGCTGTATATTTGAACGAATTGAATGGTTAGATTATTTGATTCAATATACGTTCAAACTCAAGTACTGCTAAATGAATTTTAGTAGGAAACGACATCAGTAGATACAATACACGAGTGTATAATAACACGATTGTGTTACAAAAAAAACACCAAGTAGGTATATAGTTCATGGTCGTATATAGAACGACGAAATCTAATACTCCGACTAATGTACGTCTGTTGTATATTTGATTATATGGGTTGCTATTTCGATCTAACTCAACGTAACTATGATTAAATAATTAGACAAGAGATCAAACCAATAATAATTACTGACTAATGTTAAGAGCCAAGTAGATACCTATAAAAGTTCCAACTGGATAATGCAATAAATTGTTAGGTACTTAGTAAACGCGACGACAACTTTTAATCGGCATTTATATATTTTATTTTATTCCATCACGAAAGTCATGATAAAAATTCGAATACATAAAAATATAAGAATACTATAATTATTACATAATAATGTATTAATTGTATAATTTCAATGTAATCAAAAAAATAGAATTGAAACCATTGTAAAAGATAAGTAATGAATGAATAAGCAATAAGCTACATAAGTGCAATCGAGTACAGTACGTTTTATCATTAAATCATAAAATGTAAAATACAGGTGCATACCTCAATTAATTTATCGTTATTATGTTTCTTTCAGTACATGTCTTATTTTTATATTAGCTCGGTAGATCTTTAAATTAATCAGTCTGCAATTGTGTAATATTATTATTTGATTTTAATTATTGTAATCTTATTACATAAAATTTTCAGAATGACTCAACGAAAAAAATTAATGAATTTAAAGCTTAATCAGCTTTTATTAAATACTAAGCCTTATTTCAAAAAATGGCACTTAAAAATTAAAATATCATGACATTTTTCAATTCAAAATACAATTAAAATAAAGAAGTATACAAATAATAATAAAATTATTAAAAGTAGATATTCTTCATCTACTTAGATAATATATTATATATTTAATGTTTATTGCATTTATTGATTAGTTTGATTTAATCAATTTAAATATTACAAGAAAATAAACGAAGAATTATTATTATGATTTAATAGCTAAAAGATTATTTTTTTTATCAATCTATATAGTATATATCAACGCCGAAGAAGTATTTTGCTCTTAATAAATCTACTATTTTTTGCCCGATCATTGCATAATGTATTATTAAAAGAACAAAGTATATTTTTATTAAACAGCCAATTACGACTAAATCGTAATAGATAAATATTGATAATTTTTTTCTTATTGTATTAACATAATATGATCTATTATAATATTATACTTGTATACAAATAAATCAAAATTTTAAATATTTAATACAATTAGTATTATAAGTCGATATATTATTTAAATCAATTGTTTATTTTTTTGCTCACTAAATAAAAAAAAAAAATAAAAATATTTTTATTAAAATTAAATCAAATAAAACCGGTACTATATTTTATTTGGTTTACAAATTATTGCAATAATATATATTAACTATTCAACGAAAAATTACAGCAAATTGACTCATTGTGTTATAAATATGATACAATTCAATAATTGTGTCTTTTGAAAATTCAACCATGCGTAACCATAAAAAAAAATATGTTTATATATATATATTAGTTTATATGTTTAAGCTATTAATTATTTAACTAACAATTAATGCATTAAACAACTTATAGGGAACTCTAGAAAAAGACTGGATGTTTTTATTTTAAATTCATCACGTTTTCAATCTACCATATCAGTTGTCATTCAAACATATTATACATTGGTAGGTGATCTTTGTATATACTTATCATTCCTGATTTGTAAAAGCTTATTAAATTCTATAAAAGAAAAAAAATTGAATACATCTTTACAACACATGGGTCGACATTTCTAAAACCGTTTGCTTATTCTAGTCAATTAATATAAGGTAACAAATACGGAATTATAATAAAGACAAAAAAATATAAAGTAAATGGTACGCGGAGTAATCAAAAAACGTACCCATAGTTAAAACGTCGAAAAAGATGTATTCTATAGGTACAATTTATATATATATACCTATTTAATTTATTTTCATCACAAATAGTTTACTCATAGGTTATATTGTTGTTGCTGTTTTTTTTATTGTTACTATTATTAGCAAAAAGGTCCATTGTGTCCCGCCGTTTCACGTCGTCGGTTCGTTATTAGCCCCTAATCCGTTTCGCCGTTCGCGCGCGCCGTTAGTGCTCGGTAACCGTGCGGGAAAACGACCAGCACCCGCGGGATTCCCACACGTTATACGTAATGGGTAAAAACGACGACAGACTTTCACGAAAACTATACACGCCACCGGGCGACCGTACAGAAATAAAAAAAAAAATGCTCGTCACGTCGTGCACGTCGCCGTTTCTTCGCAAAACGAATACGACCTATAGGGAAGTACTCTAATACATAAGTACGTACGTTACTCGTAGCCGTCATTCACGTTCTCTCGACCGCTGAGAGACTGCACCGCCGTATTTTTTTTTTATTTTTTTTTTCTTTTTGTTTTGTTTGTTTTTTTGTTACGAGGGTCGCACGAAAAATAACACCATCGTTTTTTTGGAAAACTGGTCTGGGTGAGTGCATATATTGTATAGATACTGCGGCGCTGGATGAGTAGGATCCGGCGGACCCCGATCGGATTATATTTTATAAGAAACCGGCTTGTAAATACCGTTCGCGCCAAACAGTGCTATAACTCTACGCGCACAATAACAATACCCAATGCACCTCGAACGCATACCAGTAATATTTTTGTTTACCATTAAAACCGACCTCGTGTTTCGTGAGCGTGTTCCGTCCCCGCGGTGCCTGTACCTCCACGCGACCCCGCTGCCGCGATGGTCGAACAAGACGCAAAACGGACGGTGCGGCGGCCCTGTTACCCCGCCGCATTTGGGGCCTACGATGACGTACCGTCACACGCTCGGTCGCGCGGCCTAACGACGGCTATGACGATGAGACAACAACGGTCGTGTATCATAGAAGTCGTCGGGGAAAAATCGTGCGACGTCAAAGGCGTCACGTTTATATCCGATCGTGCTAGTACACAGATGTCATAGATATAGGCACTTATAATTATTATTTTTGCCGTCCGTTGTCGGTGTACACTCACTTGCGACGCAAAATCCGGCGAAATTCGGTCCAAACAAATCTGTGTGTGTGTGTTTTTTTTTTTTTTTTTTTGCAACAGTAACAGCAGCAGCGCAGCAGTCGTGGGATGGTCGAACACCGATACGATAAGCGATAGTTGACGACCGACACACGACACTATATATATGGACGATTGACGAACGAAAACCGATTGGGAAAAAAACGGTATTGAAAAAACGTGCGCGAACGCTCGTCCGACCCGGCCCGACCGACAAACAGACAGACCAACCGACCGACCGACAACGACGTCGGAACAACTACTGCGGTCGTCGGCCGCCGGTTGCCGGTTCGCTTCCGAGACGACACGCGAACGACGCGCGCACGCGACCTATCTGCGTAAAAAAATCTCATTCCGCAAAACCCGTTGCCCGGCGGCGCCTTTTTTTCGATTCTGTTCATTTACCTCGGCCGCGCGCATTCTTGTCGGCAACTCGCAGATAACAATTTATAACAGGTGAAAATAAAAATAAAAATAATATTTTATAACGACGTTTTATTGCGTTATCATTATCACTGTCGTGGGATTCGCGTTTTTCGTTGTCGTTATGATAATAATAATAATAATAGTAATAATATACGTACGATTGTTTACAACAGCCGCAACAGCCGTTCGACGCGGATCGCAGTTACAGTGCAAACGGCATACAAGTGTTGTACACACCGTGCCAGCAAACTGTGTAAACCGTGACTGGGACGGCTGTATGCGACGCATAAGTGATGTGTGGAACGCGTGCACGCGGTGTAGTCGGTACACCAATAAGGTCATCATCCAATACGCGCGTTGGCTTGTTGGAAAGGGTTAAAAAAAAAAAAAAAAAAAAAAAGGCGCAAATCATAATATTATGTTTGTTGTTTATTATACGTAATGATAGTATGCTTGAAGTTAATGCATAAATACGATTACTTCTTTATACGGTTTCGATTTTGTGTTAGAATTTTATTACAAGAGGAGTATTTTATTCTTCGAGCATAATATGCGTGTTGTACACATCTGTCGTCCTTTTAATGTCAAGAGTTCAAGATTATTCGATAATGACGGCAGTTTTAACAGAAAATATGAATCATGTTTAATGAAGGTTCCGGTAACCAGTGGGGAGTTTAGAAAGCGGGTTAAAAGAAATGTTTACATAACCACCTTATTCGTGAAAAGAGGCAATACCTTTTGAAAGATTGTGAATTTTTTTTTATCCGTGGTTATACATCTATAATCAATCCAATTGATATTGATTTTCTTCTGGAAATAGTGTGTGCTAGTTTAAAAGTGCCAAAGGGCTTGGAAATGATATAAAGTTTTCTCTGTATAGCAACACCCTTATACACGGATTTCTAAATGAAACAAAAATCCGTGTGTCCGACATTCATATATTTCAGTCTTCTTATTTATACTTTTAATAAAGTATACATATTGTATATTCAGTTTCTACTGATGTTCAGTAACACAAGAACAGTTCAATAATAAAAATAATAATATAATAATACAAATAAATATAAATTTTATCTTATAAGAAGACACTCTTATTGTAGTGTTCGGTTAATAATTATTATTGTCGACATGTAACTACAACTAAAATTATTTTTAAAATAATCCAACATCCAACACTTATGTTGATGTATAAGTATATAACTTAATAAATTTATAACACTTCAAGTACAATATTTTCAAAAAATCCCTATGACCTTTATCCGGTAATAATTTTAGGTTTGTCACACAAATCTCCAACCACATATTTTTAACGTTTTTCATCTTATCCTAAAAACGGTTAAAACATAATAATTCGTTTAAAATTCAACTTAAACGTAATCCACAGCATATAGTTTTCTAAATTTAAAAGCAATGTATAATAAACTATACCACTTCATACGGTTTTATTTTAATTTTATAAGATCCCTTTTGGACTAGAAAAGAAATAAAAATTATCTCTAGTCAAATTTTTAATACCTGACATTTCTATCTATAAATTTATCTTTATTCTTACTCTATTCATTTCTCCTCTTTAAATCTTTTTGGTATAAATTAATATAGCTTTGATTTTTATGTATTATATATCACAGTCTTGACCTTTCCGTTTTAAAATTTCTTTTTATATTACCAATATTATTTTTAAATGTTTTTATGACTCACGTCCAAATAGTTCTTATAATTCTATAATGGTTAAGAATGTATATATTTTTTAACAGAGATAACAATATGCATAATACATTAAATAAAATAACAAAACTATGAATATTTTAAATGAGGTAATTTATTTTGGCGTCCACACTGTTAAACATGATTACTATGTTTTTACATGTATATGTATTAATTAAATGCAATATTTTTGGAATCACAAATTCGAACTTTTTTGACTCAGACTTCTCAAATGTCAGTAGAGGATATAGTACTAATAATATATATATACACATGATAACAATAAAAGTTCCATGATGACAAAATAATATGGTTGTTCATAATATTATTAAGACAAATTAATATGTATTAAAATCAAACAAATTTTTTTTATTGATTTTATCTATACTACACAAGTTGTTGGATGCAAAAATATACATATATAAAATAATTCCATTCAACAAATTTAACGAAAACTTGACCTTCAGTTATACTAATTAAGAAAACAATTGATATATTTTTTTTTTATACATATTGTTTGATCTTGGACCAGTTTATTAGCAAACCTTTTTTTGTTTTAGTGTATTATACAGAGTGTGGAATATTACTCATTATTATATAATAACTACTAAAAATATATTGAACAACTTTTGTCGAATTTCAGTGAGGCTATCGAACTCACATTAATAGAGTTTATCCAAAACATAACCTAAATATACACATCGTTGTGATAGTTAATGGTTATTAAATATAATTAGTATTTTATAATACAATTCCAGTTTTATCATTGTCGTTGTAGGGTATTTTTGTTTCAATATATTTAATTAAAATATGTACATAAGCAAGCAAGCAACGTGCACTTTTTTTCTTCAAATATTCTCTGGTGGCTTATTATAAACTTAAAATAAAAATGAAATTTACCAAATAATTATTTTTTTTTATCATAGTTGTTATTATTATTATTATAATCTATTTTTATTTTTTTGTAGAACAATTTTATAAATATTCCTGTTGAAATAAACAACTTTAGGTACATAGTTCCGCTTATATTCTATACTATGTCAAAGTTCCTTTTCTCTTGTCTCGAGATTTGTTATTTTCTTTTATCTACAAACAGTCAAGTGTTTTAAAGTTCTGAAACAATTAGTTCCGAGGTTCTCGTTTTTATTTCAAACACGCTTAAAAACGTAAAGGATTTTTATTGGTAGGCATAGTTGTAGTAGTTTATATCATTGACAAGTCGAATTGCATTTTGTCTTTATAAACCCAAGAACGTCAACCATGTCATCACATACATATGGTTATATACAATTCAACAAGACAGAAAGGCGTCTTTATTGAAGAATCTGAACAAGAAAAAAATTTATAAGAAATGTGTGCACAGGAAACCCAAGAGTAATATTTTTTATTACTACCCTATAACGCTTTGTGAAGTTGTAAATTCCATTCGAGTATGATGTATGATTTATATATTTATATGCAAATATACATATATCAATTTATTTTAAACCTCACTGAAAATCTAATCTCTAAATACGTATACCGCGCAAATAGATAGAAAAAAAAACCATGCATAGGAGTTGTTAATAATATTCTAGTGACAAGCATTTACATTGGTACCATCACGTCAGACCATTCAAACAGTATGCTGTATATGCAATATTAAAACAATTGCATGTAAATATAAAAAAAAATATATCTTTAATATTCTACCATGTTAAAAGTAATTCAAATTACAAGGTTAACCATTAACTAATATATATTATTTAATAATAAGAAAACCCACTTGTAACTTCCGTAAAATTAGTCTCTCTTTTTTAATTCGTAAAATTTGCAAATGTTTTAAAAATTGGGATTTTGAATTTTTTAATAAATGTATTAAATTTAATAAGCTAAAAACCATTAATGGCAAAAAAATCATTACATTTGAAAAAAAAAAAAATAAAAAAATATTGATTTGCAAACTTTAATCTATTTTCAAAATATTGGTAGATTTTTTAATCAATCGGACACAGTAGGAAGGCCAACTTCACGGACATTCAATAATTGGATATGTACCTTTGATATATTTTTATTTTATTTTATGATGGATCTACATAATATTATGTTTGATATTTATTTATATGATGTATGATGTTATTCGAAATTTCAGCTCGTAGTTTTTATTCGTAGAATTCATATGCAATTATTTGTGGCGAATGGCATATTTTATTTTTTACAATCAAATGCAAATTCAATTTCGTTCAATCCGCAACGTTTGAACTTGTATTATATTGTTTTTGTGAACTGTCGTCGTAGCTATTTATTAACAAACACCAAACTCAATTTTGTTTAGTTAATATTTAATGTTTAACTGTTATTGAACAAACGTAGACTTTTTTTCATAATTTCGATGTAGACACCATTATGTATAATAATATTTTATTAAATATCATTACATATGAACAAATAATATACAAAATAGTTATTACTACCATTTATTAGTAGTATTTTTAAATTTCAATAATAATTAATAATTACATATCCTATAAAAGTCTATTACAATATTATTACACGTCATATAATTATGTCTAAATACATAAACAGATGACAGACATTAGTCATAATATGCACGTGTATATTATTCCTTGTTAAATTAAAACCTAATACAAATTATATTTACATTTTACATATTTTAGTTGAGATAATAAAAAGATTTAACTACTTTTTTATCTTTTCCAAGTTCAGATGTATTCATAACACGCTCTATTAATATTTAATACAAATAACATTTAAAAAAAGGAAGTATACAGATAAAGCTTTGACTGCTTTGTACACTTATTGTTTTGAAACATCACAGGTAAACTTTTTTTGTAATTTTTTCATTGCTAATAATTAAAAAAAAATATATCATATAATGTGTATATATATTATATAATAGCTAAATATTATAGGCTATTGTAATAATGGTCATTGATGTACCTATATCGCATTACCCCGCCGTCGTTTCGATTACTCTATCGCGATACCGCCGGGCTCATTCCACTGGATGTGACGTCTAAACACGCGAAAATTTTCTTCTTAAAAAATGTAAAGTGTGTGCGCTAAACATACTCTACCCTTCCAAAGTGATATGACATTGACAAAGACTAATAAAGTCGTTTCAATGAAAAATATTATGGAAAAAATATATGTACCTATATTGTACCTTAAATTCATAATATATTATTCAATGTTTTAATTTTTATCAATCCTCCGTTTCATTTTAAAGCATAATACATGAATGCGATTACTTTTGACTACTACCGTATCATAAATCTCAGAGTCGTGCTGAAAAGATTTTTACGACGCCTAAATGCAATAGAATTTAAGGAGGTTTTTTAATGCAAATTATTGCCCTG